TAACAGAGCTATCTTTTAGACCCAACTAAACACCTTGAGGGAGTGAGTCCTTTGAACTATGGGCTCATAACCACAGTTGTGGGAAACTTCAAGCTCAACTGGCATAACATAGTACACAAACACATTGCTCTAAATCCTAGTTAGGTGAAAAATGACTGAGATCTTGAAATCTTGGGAGTAGTCATCTAAGATGCTCCTATTGATTTCTTCATCTGGAGCAAATAAGAGAGAGGAAAATTAAAGACACATCGAATCAATTACATCAATAGACTAGTGGATCATGGGAATCTCGGCCTAAAATCCCTGAGACAAGAATAACTAGATGTTGCCCTTCTACCACTGCCAACCACTCAAAAAGACTTCAGAATTGGAGATCCTGGATAGAGTGAACAAAAAATGTGGAATAAAAGAAAAGAAATAACAAGATCAGGCTTGTTTGATAAAGATGAGTAGTAAAACTCCTGAGGCTATGGCCCCAGTTTATCCTTCTGGCTTGGAATTGAACTCACTCTTGGAGCTTAACTTTCAACCAAAAAATAGCCAGGTCTACAAGGTGAGAAATTATACCCAGGAAGTACACTCTTTAGTAAAAGCAACCACAGGAGATTAGAAGGGCAGAGCTTGTGCAGGGGGAAAGCTAAAGAGGCAGAAATTCATAGTAAGGGACAAAAGGTAACCATAGAGAAAAGGTAACCACAGGGCACAAGTGGGAAGAGTGTTGTTACATTATGTGGAATGCAATGGATGCCACAAAACAAAATGTCTATGAACTGATGAATAGAAAATGAATTTTCTCTGTAAACTGTCACTCAGATCACAGTAAAAAGTTAAATAAATATTTGCTGTTTTTATGTGCCGCGGAGTGGGACCCGACTCATAGCGATCCTTCGTTGGTTTTCCGATGTGATATCACTACAGAAGTAGATTACTGAACCTTCCTTCTGTGGAGTGGCTGGTGGGTTTGAATCGCCAGCCTTCTGGTTAGCAGTAAAGTGCCTTAGGCCCTACTATATGCTTACTAAAGGACCGACGTCTATTTGCCTAAGGCACACTGGTGATGCACTGTTTAAAACTTTTGGCTGCTAACTTGAAGGTCTTTGGTTTGAACTCACAAGCTGCCCAGTGGGAGAAAAAGGAGTGCTTCCGTAAAGATTTAGAGCCATGGAAACCCTATGGGATAGTTCTAATGTGTTTCTTAGAGTCACTTTGAGTTGGAATGATCCTGTTAGCAGGTGATTTGTTTTGTTTGGTTGGCCCATTTGCCTTATAAAATTACCAGTTGGATACTCTCACATGGAAGGCTTAAATATCTAAGCATCTTTTTTTTGGGGGGTCAGTTTGCTATGGACTGGATAACCTAGTATAGTACAAACTAAGTGTGAAGCAGCAAGTTAGACACTATAACAGCTGGTCAATCTCCATTGCATCACAAATCTAAAGTGATTCTATGGGACAGAGAGTATTGGCAAGCTCGTTAATTCAGAACAAAGTGCCAGGGTAAAAATTGTTTCAACTATCGGGTAACTTGACTACAGGTTTCACCTACTCTGGGATTGAGGTGGCACAGATCAGCAAGGCAACCATAAAAGCCACTGAAATATGGTCTTTTTCAAATTAGAAATTTTTTACCGTTTTTTTCTGACATTTCTTCTTTAATCCTGGTCAAGTTTCTTGCATATATGATTGGGATCAGTATGACTTTCAAATAATCAGTATAAGATATCAAATTTTTCATAGAGGTACCAGTTATCCAAACCTAATGAATTATCTGCCACTTTGGTTTGCCTTAAATTTTTAAGGATGACTTTTCCAGCTATTTTAAGCTTGACTATCCATTCAAATTTCTGCTAAAGTCTCAATTACATTCCACTAGAAGTTGCTGAGCACATAAGCTGTCAGGTAATTTGGCCAATATTTTTCAGATGATTGTGACTTTTAGGGATGAGAAACAGATACAATAGAGATGGTATGTATTCTTTAGTTTTCTCAAAGACAATAAACTATTGTGTGTTAAAGAGAAAAATAATGTATTAATTAAAATATTACCTGCCATAGATTTAGGCATGAACTGCTAGAAGAATGAGCAAGTCTGTCTTGCAGGAAGCATGATTAGAGTGCTCCTTAGAAGCGAGAATGGCCAGACTTAGTCTTTCATTCCTTGGTCATGTTGTCAGAAAGGACCAGCCTTTGGTGAAGAATATCATGCTTGTAAATGGGAGGGTTGGAGAAAACAAACAAAACAAACAAAAAAAAATTGGAAAGACACTTAACAAGATGGATAGATACACTGACTGCCAAATATGACAATGATTGTGAGGACTGCACAGGGCATGTAGGGTTTCTTCTGTCGTACATACACAGATCTGTATGAGCTGGACCTGACTCAGCAACTTCTGACAATAAATGTGTCTACCCAGGACTTGGGAAAGTATGTCATTAACCAATCTTAGGTAATTTTAATATTTAATCAATTTAAGATCTCCAGTTCTGAACAGTTCTATCCAAACAACTGAAAATGGAAGTAGCAGAAATAATTTTCTTTATACTTCAAGGACATTTTTCCTTCATTTAATAAGGGGGAAAAAAAGAAAAAAAAAAAAAACCCTGTAATTATGATGTCATCAGCTACGTTATTCTACAGGTTTTTTTTTGTTGTTGTTTGGTAAGCCACAGAAAGTCTGAAACTTACTTTTTAAAACATTTTCCCTCAATCTTTTACAGTTTCGACAAAGGCCAGAATTGTGGTAGACTTGCTGAGAGGTACACATTTTATGACAGGAGAGAATTTAGATTGCTCAGTGTTTTTTGTAACAGATGTGAGATAAGACATTACAGTTAGCTTGATGAAACAAAATCATTCAAATTACTGAGGAAACATTAAATAGTTGAGTCTCAGGAAATTAAAGTGAACACAAGGTTAATATTTTATTCAATTTTATATAGGACTAATTAAACAAATTTCATCCAATTTTTTAAATACAATGAGATAACTTTTTAAATCATATGTAAATCATGCTATAGAGAACAAAATGTAATAAGACAAAGAAAACAATTATCAAATATTTACTATTATTATTTAATTTCTTACTCAAGTTTATATAGATGTTTCCCCTGTATCTAAAGTTAAATAACAAATATTTGACCAACTATACAGTTATAAATAGCTTTGAAACATGTATATGATATAAATTGGGACCTTGCTGAATTTTGGGAAACATAATTGATCTAAAATATGACATCTCAAAGCAGTCATAGTCAGTAAACTGTGAGACAAAGATGCATAGAATAAAGCTCTTGGTAAATTTTCAATAATGACTAAAAGATCAATGACAGTCTAGAGAAGGAGAAACCAGGATGACATGGAATGATATAAGAACATGTCAGTAGAGAAGTGACAACTTTAGTCATAAAAGAAATATAACATGCTACTAAGAGCAATTTAGACATGATATTGAATGCCATAGAGCAAGAGAGTCAGAAATGCAGTGAGTGGCAGGTGCTGCCCATGATGACAGAACATATTCAAATGTAATAACTAGACTAGGGACTTTTTTTTTTTTTGGCTGGTGGTGGGGTAATTGGAGTACACAGAGTTAGGGAAAAGGACAACACTTTAACACTTTTCATACATCATTGCTGACCTACTGTGCTATATAACATTACCAATATTCCGGAGAGAAAATGTTCCTGTTCATATAAGAAGAATAGAGGGTAATTCACAGTCAGACTCAACAGACCTCTATTCACATTTAATGCAAGTACTCAGCTCTAAGGCAAAGCAGAGTTTAATAGTCAACAACCTCAAACTTAAAATGAACATGAAGTTGTCATAGTAGCAGGCAACATTTTGTTTTGATCCGTTATATATGGGATTGCAGAGTCAAATTTGACTCAATGACAATTGAAAACAAAGTATTATTTGTCAGGAGAAAATGATGCAAGTAACAAAAATATAGGGTAACAAATGAGAACATTGGTGTGTGAGTATGTCTGTCTGTGTGAAAAGGATACCTGCAGTCTTGAACGTGTGGAGATTAAGATGATAGTGATATAGTCAACCAAATTGAACATGTATGCTAGGAGATGGAGAAAAATAAATGCTTCAACTGGAAAGACATATAATTGAGAAAGAATGTGGTCATTGATTATGAAAGAAGTATAGAGTAAGTGAAAACCAAAGCTACAGAGAAATAACAAAATGATCAAGCTAAGAAGCATATCATGATAAATGGTTAGGTATAAAAGGAAAGTAAGGTAAAAAAAAATATATATATATATATATATGTTTAAGACAGATACAGATATACATATAAAAGTGAACGTAGAATAAAAGATAGTTGATATAGAAGTAGATATGTAAGTATATATGTTTATAGATACAGCTATGTATGTTGATATAGGTACAGAATGGGGCCTTATAGCAACATTAACTTAAGGATACTCAAGCTGTACCTACTATACATGTGCAATTCTTAGTAGTTCTATATTTGGTCACAAAAATGTCTATTTTCATGATAAATTGCATGACGTCAATATACAGAGATAAATACAGATGTATAGATAGTTTTAAACCAATTGCCAGCAAGTAAATACTGTTCCTTTAGAACAGTGTAGAACTGGCTCATAGGATCTAAAAGGCTGTAATCTTTACAGAAGCAGACTATCCCATCTTTCTCCCACTGAGGAGATGGTGGATTGGAGTCACTGACCTTTGCATTAGGAGTTTATTGCTTACCCAGTGTGCCATGAGAGCTCCTTAAAGAATTCATAGGAATAATTTCTTTAGACACATAGAAAACATACATATATATAAACATTTTTATATAATTAGTTACAACACTTCCTATATGTATATGTGTGTGCTACATGCATTTGTGTGTATGTATTAATTTCTGTGTATGTATAGGTATGTTCTCTAAATGTCAATAGAAAATTATTCTTATGAATACTTCTGAGTCTTCCTGTGAAATCAGAATAAGAGGATTGCAAAATAACTCATATCATACTTGCTGTAAACATGTTTTATGGAATAAAAGATTTCTAAGTGCTACTTTTACGTCTGTGTTTCTCAGGCTATAGATGATTGGGTTTATCATTGGGGTAATGACCCCATTTACCATTGAGATAAGCCTATCTCTGGTTGAGGAGTGATGACTGGAGGAGGGACGGACATAGTTAATTATCACTGTGCCGTAGAACAAACAAACCACAAGGAGGTGGGAAGCACATGTGGAGAAGGCTTTACGCTTCCCTTCTGCTGATCTAATCATCAGGATGGTGGATATGATGTAGATATAAGAGATACCAGTGATCAGGAAGGCACTGATCCCTAAGGTACCTCCTACCACTAAGACAAGCATTTCTGCCACATATGTGGAGGAGCAGGACAGTGCCACAACTGGAGGGATGTCACAGTAGTACTGGTTGACTCGATTAGACTTACAGAATGAGAGACGGAATGTGAACACTGTGTGCAGTACAGAGTGCAGAAACCCCATTGCCCAGGTAGTGGCCATGAGCTGGACACAACGCCACTTTGTCATGATGAGGGTGTAACGAAGGGGAAAACATATGGCCACGTACCTGTCATAGGCCATGACTGTGAGAAGGAAGACTTCAGTCCCTAACAGGGCCACAAGGAGAAAGAGCTGCAAAGCACATCCAAGAAAAGAAATGCTTTGTTTCTGGGTTAAGAGGTTCTTGAGCAACTTGGGGACAGTAGATGATGGGCAGAACATGTCCAAAAGGGACAGATTTGCCAAAAAATAATACATAGGTGTGTGGAGCTTTTTTTCAGTCCCAATGGCAAGGAGAATGGCCCCATTTCCCACCAACGTGACCTGATAGATGACAGCAAAGACCACAAAGAGAGTGTAGCGCACCTCAGGGAGGTCAGAGAGTCCTAGGAGGATGAACTCTGCGACAGTGGTTAAGTTGTAGACATCCATCTCCTCTCTTCATGGGACAATTTCTGGAAGGAATGAAACCAAAGGACACAGGTTAGGCTCAAACCCAAGGAGCCCAATAATGGCAAACACTTGGGCAATAATGGGTGTGTGGTTGATGATAAATTATACTGTTGTAATGTGCCGTTGAGTTGGACCCAACTCATAGCGATCCCCCTTGTCTTTCCAAGGCAGTATCACTATGGAAGGAGATTGCCCAATCTTCCTTCTGAGGAGTGGCTGGTGGGTTTGAACTGCCAGCCTTCTGGTTAGCAGTCAAGTTCCTTAGGCACTATGCTAGCTCCTGGTCCTATTTTAATTAGAGATTTCAAGTATTGCAATCACCACATTCATGATGATTCTTATTTATCCTCATATCCTTAACAAGATCCCTTTTAAAATTTCACCTTCTTTATTAATCTGTGGTTGCACCTTAAGCAGTAGAGATTTTACAATTCAATTAAAGATGATAAGAAGATATCATCCCTGCTTAGAAACTGTATTTTTCCTTGTAAGGTTTCCTTATGTATAGTTTTATGTACTATCTCAATACAAAATACATTGCAGGTAGAAGCTGTGTCCTTTTCCTTGATATATATTAACAACTGTTAGTAACTAGCAGACTCAGGGTAAAAGGTAGATATATAATGTTGATTGCAGAAATGACTGAATTTTGTTAGGTGCTGTGAAAATACTTTCTTCCATAACTTCAAAATCATGATCATTTAAACATGAACATTGTCATCATATTTCCTAAAAGATTTAACAGATTTATTTTATTTCATAAAACTCATATTTTATGTGTAAAATGTAAATGAAACCCAGTTGATCTTATCTGAATTTATTCAAACAGGAAACAAGATATAATAATATATGTATTCAACTCCGCTAACCTAAAAGCTTACGTTTTTACCATTTGTCCAAGAATACCTAAGGAAATATGGATTTCAAAAATTGTATGTGCTTGATCATATATAATTCATATTTAGTCTTTGTTAATTTTCTAATTACATTTGAATGTCACATAATAACCCTAATACTCACTATATTCCAGATGAATCAGTAAAAGACTGAAAGTCTACAAATGAGTACTTCTGTAGATTTTTTACATCACATTAAAACTTTTTTTTTTTTTTTTTACTACAACAAGTGCATGACAGAAATTTCTAAGGGACCCTACTTATTTTGCCTGATGGAAAACTGGGAATGATTTCTTGGCTCAGATAAAATTTGATATATAAATAATGCAAAATATCCATAATCATTTTTTATACAACAAATAATATTTTATATCACCCTTTTTTCTTCCCTTCACTACTTAAAAAAATCATTGAAAGAACCCGGGTTGTGTTATTAGGTGCTGTTGAGTCAGTTCTGACTTATAGCTACCCTACAGACAACAGAAAAAAACTGCCTGAGTCTGGCACCGTCCCCACAGCCTTTGCTATGTTTGATCCCATTGTTGTAGCCAATGTGTCTTTCAATCTCTTTGAGTATCTTTTTTTTCCTGACTCTCTACTTTACAAACTATGATTCCATTAGCCAGGGACAAGTCTCTACTAATAATGTCCAAAGTACCTGAGACAAAGTCTAATCATTCTCACTTCCAAGGAGTATTCTGACTATACTTCTTCCAAAACAGATTTGTTTGGTTTTCTGGCAGTCCATGATATATTTAATATTGTCCACAAGAACCATTATTCAAAAGCATCAATTCTTCATTTTTCCTTATTCATTGTCCAGCTTTTGCATCTAGATGAGGCCATTAAAAATACTATGTTTTGGGTCAAGCCTACCTTTGCCACCTCCAAGCAAAATCTTTGCTTTTTAACACTTTAAAGAACTCTCTTGCAGTAGATTTTCCCAATGTAATATATCATTTGACTTCTTGACTACTGCTGCTATGGTTGTTGATTGTGGATCCAAAGAAAATGAAATCCTTGACAACTTCAATATTTTCCCCATTCATCATGGTGTTGCTCATTAATCTAATAGTGAGGGTTTTTATTTTCTTTATATTGAAATCTAATTCAGACTGAATACTGTAGTGTTTTTTTTTTTTTTTTAATCTTTCTCAGTAAATTTTTCAAGTCTTCTACACTTTTAGCAAGATAGGTTACATTATCTGCATATGGTAGGGTGTTAATAAGGCTTCCTCAAACCCTGATGGCCTGTTCTTTGTCGTATAGTTCAGCCTCTTGGATTGTTTGCTCAGCAACAGATGTATTTAATATGCTGTAAGAATATAACTCTGATGCACATCTTTCTGGATTTTAAATCCTTGTACTGTAGAACAAGGAGGTTGAGTATTTGGGAAATATTACTATTCTTTCGCTTAACAGAACTAAACACTTCTTTTTTATGGTATTGGGACAAAATACGAATGTTCTTTTAATTATGAAATATAGAAAAGAAAAGTATTGAAAAACCACAAAGTGCCGAATAACATTACTCAATCCACCAAAGTTTGCTAAATAAGTGAATGAAAAAAATATTAAAATAAAGAAAAAATACTGAATGTGTCTATTCTCAAATATTCCAGATTCCAAAGGGCAATTACATTTTCTAAGGTATTTGACTACTAATCAGAAGGCTGGAGGTATAACCCACCAACTACTCCTCGGAAGGAAGACTAGGCAATCTACTTCCTTAGAGACACCGCCTAGGAAACCCAAGTAGGGGTCACTATGAGTTGGAATCAACATGACACAGTGAGTTATTTTTTTTCTATATTTATATATTCATACTTTGAAAATATAACAGTAAGCTTAAGAGATTAGAAAACCACTTTTATCACAACAATTAATATTTCGAAACAGAAAATATTAAGTTACATATTCAAAACTTGTTCTTTTTTTTAAATTTAGTTATAAATTTCACTTCTATTTTCTAAACAAATAAGATACAAATCAATAACTTCCTGACAGAAGACTCAGACTGGCTCTACATCATGCTACATGATTAAGGTATCCTTTAAATAATTAGAATATATTTTCCCTAAAGTTTGCCATTTGTTATTTATATTGTTTTATCAAGTTTACAGTCTTGGCATGAAGAATATAAAAAATTATTCAATTTGGAAGAAAATTATATTTATATTACAACCCCCTATTTTTGAAGCAAATAGGATTAAATCTCATGAATTTGTTCATCTAACCACAAAAATAGGAGCCATGTTTTTGGCAATATGTTGTTGAAGACTGTAACTTTTCTTATTAACACAATGGATCCATAACTCATTTATAATCAGAAAATCCCATATGAAATGTGAGCTTTCTATCTGCTTTGTAGATCATTTGTAAATGTAAGCATATAAGGACTTTAAGAAAACATATTGCAGTCAACTTTTATAATAGTCATAGGCAAAGATGTAATGAGAATCTAGAATAAGATATATCCTAGATGATTACCTAGATTTAGAAAATGTTTCTTTTTTTTTTCTTTCAATTTCTGTCTTTTCCTTTTACAGTTAGTCAATGACAAAAGTACCATATAGTTTTGTGTTTTTTTTTTGAACAATTAAGTATTTCAACATTCCACTCTATAGAGAAAGAAAATAAATTAATTAAGCAAAATCATCACTGATAGATCTTATACATTAAGATAAAAGAAAATTATAATTTGTTTGGTATATTACCTTCAAGGAAACAGTACATTTATATTTTCTTAGAAAATTAGGAGGTTGCTGAATTTTTTCAAAAAATAAATTTTATAACCTTCCATTTCAATCTGATAGGTTGATGACTAATAAGTTAGAAGAAGAAAAAAAGTTAACTTCTAAAGTGCTATTTCTCTACCTGTTTTCCAAAATCCTGATTACATACTGGAGGAAATTACCTACTGAACATAAATCCAGGTGTGTGAGTAGGAAGCATTCATATTAGACACAGCAAAATTTGCATAAAGACAATTTGAACACACATCTAGACAAGCATGCACATTAATAAAGTAATTCTTATACAATTATTTATTCAGCCAACATAAAATACTCAAAAGTGCTAATTTTTCCTACCATAGTGAAAAGCTATGATATTTGGCTTTAACCAGTTTCCTAAATGTCTAAAATTTCACACTATATTAACATTTTTGCAAACACTAATTTTTCATCTTAAATTAGAACATCCAGAATTTAACATAAAATTTTCTTGTGTTTTCAGTTTCAAATTTCATTACCAATTTGAAGTTTCCACAAGAACAAATTAAAATGATCCAACCAACAAAAATGCAACAGTAAAGAATAAACTGCTCATTTATATGTAAAGCTCCTATTGGCATTTATTCTGTAACTCAGATTATGCCCAATTTTCCCCAAGGGAGGAGGGAAATTAGAACTCTAAAGAGAATATGCTTCTCACCTTGATAAATCTAAATTACTGTCAACATAATAAGCACACAGTTTATAGTTAAAGTTTTAATATAAACTGAAAACTAAATCTGAATTTTAGAGAGTGGCAATTTTCTTTCTTGTCATGGTCTAGGTAAAAAACTAAATAAATCTTTCCCAAAAATTGTATTACAAGACAAAACTAAAGAATAAATTATTATTTTTCCTGTCATTGAAATAATCATTCTTGAAAAATACAATTAACCATCAATTTTTAATATTCTCTATTCTCCATAAGTTAACAATATTTTCATTGTTATACCTATTTATATTGTTAAGACTATTTGCCATGCACACAAAAAATGGTATTCAGCCTTTTAGGCACAAATTGAGTAAAACATTAATTTGACTTCAGCTGTAACAACCAACTTGATTAAACATAGGAAATGTAATTATAAGGTGATAGATATAATAAAAGCATTATTATAATCGAATGATGTATGCTTGAAATGTAAGAGCTCTGGTGGCATAGTGCCTAAGGCATTTGACTGCTAACCAGAAGGCTGGCGGTTCAAACCACTCGCTCCTCAGAAGGAAGACTGGGCAATCTACATGCCTAGTGATACTGCCTCAGAAACCCAAGGAGGGGTCGCTATGAGTAGGATCTGACTTGAGGTCG